AATCATAATCCATAATAAAGCTACAATGAAAAGTGAATCACGTTTATTTATAGGCAGTTACATATATCGAAATAATGTATGTCGTAAAATAATAATGTCTCAGAAACTTGTGTATATATATTTTTCACACAAGTATTATAATGCGATAAACGGTACGTTTGTAAGAAACAAAAATGTTAAATAAATTATATAGTAAGTAACTTATCAAATATATCAGAAAAAGATAGAGAGAACAATTGTTTCTAGAAAAAAATTAATATTTAAATTTTAGTACATAATTAACGTTATTTTTTATCAGTAATAAGATTGGAAGAAATTTGATAATTCTATAAAATATTTGATACCGGTGTATGCATTCGAAATATGAGAAAGGCAAGATGATGATTACGATTCTACGATACATTCAAAGATGAAGCAGCGATAATATTCAGCGTGTCCTATCGCAGTCGAAATACAAGGTGAACCTATTGCGAATCGTACGCTGATTCTCCCCCTGTGGTATTAAATATACCAGGCGTATAATATCGCAGTTAGATATCACAAAAGTGAGAGGAATGCTGGGATAATTGGAAAGATTACACCGCGAACGATGCGTTATGTATTTTACTGATGCGGCCGAGGTCTTAGCTTAGCAACGAATTATCGGTTGTTTGTTCTAATATCCATTGCACGATTTTCAGATATAGTTAAGATAGTCAGTATCTGGGTTCCTCTCACGAGTAACATGAGACCCTGGATCTCCGATAATTTAAGAGCAACTTGAATGCATGCGAGTTTGGCAATGTCAGAACATAAGGATTTTCACGAATACATAAGAAAGTGCACGAAAGAAAACGGTTTTACTAAAGTATTTAAAAACATACAGATCAGAAAATAATTTTATTGAACTATCAAAATAATTACGCTCAAATTGTGAGTGCTAAAATATAAAATTTGTTTGCACTTTTTTGCAAGATTGTTCATCATATTTGAGTTCCCTAATTATTTTCAATTAAATTATTTTTAAATTTGTATTTAACTAAATTTTCAGAAACTTCAGCATAATCATTCATTCCGTGTTCATCAAGCATCCTAAGATCAAATTCAAAAATATAAAGATGTAAGATCCGAAAAAAGCTTGATTGTAAGTCTGACTGTGAAAATATGAAAATATGAAAATATGAAATTATGAAACTTGAAAAACGCAAAAATTAAAAAATTGAAATTTAACTGGAGGAGATTGAAATTTAGACGCATAGAATGTGCAGGTAAACGTCCGTATAATCATATTCCAATGTAAAAAGTTTTAATCACACAACGGAGTCGACAGCTTTCGGATTTACTGAAGTTGAACGTGAGTTATAGTCGACGCAACCTGATAACAAAAATGCCGAGATGAAAACGATACGTTGCTCGTAAATGTTGCAGTCGTGATAAACAGCGCGTTGTCCAGGATTGATTGATCCTGGCGCACGCAGTGGAGCTTCGCGGAGATTTGCCGAGAGTAAAGGGGACCGATTTAAAAGTTTCGTTCACAATGGGACCTCACGCGTTGAACGTGATATATTGTCTGATACAAAGGAGTTAGAGAACTGTCCACTGATAGTGTATTTAATGATCCCCGCTTCTTCTTCGATACGGAATCGACTTCCTGCACCATTGCCACACTGATCCACATCGATATCGATCTTCCTAGATCCTGTTCCCCAACATTCCTTAGGTTTTCTTGCTAAACTGAATTTCAAATATTTCTATTCACTTTGAAATATCAAGTTGAGCGAGAACTAAAACTTGTACAAAAATGTCGGAACAATCTAAAACCGAAAAATTTAAGAAGCAAAAATCACATTAATTAATCCACCTGTGTGTATTATATATAGAGATCAGTAATCAATTTTACATAAAAAAAAAATACGTAAAATATAGAGTTAATATTGCAAAAAATTGTTACATTTAAATATAAAATCTTTGTCAAAATATTTTTTAAGAATCCAACAATGTTAGCAGACGAAGAAATATTAAAAATATAATTTTATACATACGCGTACATATACAAATCGCCAGCATCGCTTCCTGTTCCAGATTATTTATTGTATCTACAAGCTAACGGTGCATGCATCCTTACGCGTTCCACGTACAAGATTCTCTAAATGGGCAAGCATTGTTTGCCAGCGAGTCATGTAGTTAGTGTTGCTCAATGCACTCGTATCTCTAAAAGAGATAATTTGAATATCGAAGTTATCGCGGATAAAACTTAAAGCTTGAGGCACAAATTGGGAGAAAAGTAATGCTAAAAATTAAAGAACGTTCGAAAAATAATAAATTTTTATCAATATAAATATCTATTAGGGTTTAATTGTCCTATAAATTTAAAAGATACGATATTTCGGATGAAAAAATTGAAAAATTGAAAAATTTAAGAATCAAATTTGAAAATCTAGGAAGTGAAAAATATATCAATCGTTCAATGTAAGACGAAGAATCGACGTCTAGCCTGCTATCCTGCGGATATCCACGGTTGATCACGATTCGCGGTCTTTTAAGCGACAGGTGCAAACATTCGGGGACCAGCGCAAAAAAGGAAGCCGGTAATTGTAAGCCCCGGGTAGAAAAACCAGTTTGCTAAAAACAACCCGGGCCTGATCGAGTCTCGTTGCGGGGCTACCGAATAACCAACGGGTGTCGGTGTGGCAACGTGCGTGTGAAGAGTACGTGAGAAGCGGAGCTTTTGGAAATCTCCGTTTTAAAATATCTCTTAAAATCTTCATCCCGCGGAAATTATGCGTCTCACCACCCAAGAGAAAGTCACAAATACATTCCAAGATATATTGAACAAAACTAGAAATTATTATAATATATATTAAGATGATTATATCGCTTTAAATCATTTTTATACGTCATCAGAAAGAAACGTACACCTTCTTAACATTTTTATTGTTTCTACGTCTCTCCGATGACAACTGAATATAAATTAATGAGGCTATGGCAGTAATGTTACTTGACGTTAAAAAATCTGTTCTTTAAAGTGTGACGTTTCATGTTTAACTCTAACGTAATAAACGCACGCAGTCATTCTGCCACGTTGAAAAGGCGCCAGAGAGTCGCAATACTTGAACTTATGCAGGAAATACTTTCTATGAATGAACTTTCTCACCGCTCATCGAGGGAAAGATACAGTTAAATGCCAAAACGAACCGGAGCCGAAGTGGGACCCGCAAAAACAAAAATTGCAACTTACTGCGTAAAGCTACTTTCCTCACCATTATCAAATTACAAGGAAACTCGTTTCAACAATATCGTTTCATTAATGTAACAATTTGTCAAACGGCTTTTGCAGCTTAAAGAAATTTTGCAGCTTTGAATTCTTGGAAGATTAGAAATTTTCAAAAGATTTCCAGAGAATCGCTTTTAACTTTTTTAACCTTTAAAACAAGACAAGCTGAACAGACGTGAGATTTTAAAAATTAGAGAACTAAAAAAAGCGAGACACGGTTATAGTTTCGGAATTTTTCGGTTGAACAATTTCGTGGCTGTAAACTTTTAAAACGTAAACTCTTTACACAACATAAATAAAAAAAAAACTTCAAAAATCGAAGATCAATATATCATTGCGCAAATTTGAAAAATTATTAATGTTGTGTTTACATTCATGCCTAACAACGACTTCATGAAAAAGAAGAACAATTATTCGATGCTATAAATAAGCAACCTCGCTGGAATTCCAACGAGTTCTCTGGCCGCGACAGGTGAAGCCACGTGTTGTTCGTGCAATCGCAGTCGCCTAGATTCGAATTTAAAGACTTCGTTATTCAATTCAAATACGTTAACGGAGTAACGGGCCAGCTCGCAGGATTTCCGCCTCAGTGCGACGTTCGTTATTGTGTTCTAGAAGAATCGGGTTAGGAAAGGTCAGGTAGAGACGATCGCCCTGGAGCCGGCCTGCGAGAAGACTCGCAGTTAAGTATCATTTTTCAGAGAAAGTATGGAAAGTACATGTGTTTCTATAGTGCACATCAAAAAGTAGAAAGCATTATACACATATTACAAAGAGTCATACATCCTAAGAAATGATAAATACACTTCGAAAGAAAATACAAGATCAATCTGAATATTTTAGACACTGGTACGTCAAATATGATATATCATATTTTATGATATATCGTGATACATTATTAGATAAAAATATGATAATAGTATCTTTATGCTTGTTAATTTCTATGGCGTTTGTATCTACAATGCAAAATAAAATTTATTTGAAATATCTAGATCGTTCAATTGATTGTCAAATAGATTCTTACTGATAATAGAAGGACACGCGTGTCGAGTATTCAAAATCGCTCTGCAAGACCACCGTCTTCGCGATTTGCGAGTCACTCGTTATTTTGCCAGCGTATGATGAATGTAAGCCTTAAGGATTACGGGAGTCTTGTATTATATACGGAACCTCCGTTGAAAGAAGATATATTTAGACTGGACCCTTGAAAGATCCTGTCTCGTCTCGGGACGCGTCGCGAAGCGAATTCATTTTGAATGCACAGGATTTCTTTCTTGCAGATTATATAAGGATGAAAGATTCGTAAAAATATATACTCATATAAATGCACAGGCCGTTCGGATGTATTATCCTTGCGACAAGAATGCAATCGAACGTGCTTCAAAGAAGTAAATCGATTTGTCAAGTTCATCATTAAAGATAATTGCGCGTGTAAATGTAATAAGAAAAGCGCATGTTTTATGATTTCAAATAATGTAATTTAAATAAGATTGATGATGAAGTCTTTTGATGTAAGAAAGATAATCTTTAATACAACTAACTTTTTAAATCATTCCCTTCATTCTATTAAAGAGAGATTCTAGATTTTTTCTAGATTTTTTTTTTTCATCATTTTATTCTTTGATATAATTAATAATTAAAATTATTTTGCTACAACATTATAAATACAAATATTAAGATTTAATATGTGTATTTTTTTAATTGATTGAATTTAATACATAATCATTAGATATATATAGAAACTTACCTCGCACCTAGATGTGTCAAGTATCTCGACCTCCGTCGTGACATTATCAATAGTGACGCTGTGTCGGTAGAGAAAATCTGCAACAAATGAAATTAATATATTTAATCAATTATAATAATATCTTTAACTCAATTATTATCGCTTTAAGATCTTGTATAACTCGCGAGATAAATAAAGAAACATGATTTTTCTTGATCGATGTCATTTGGATGATACTCTTCGATCTCTTTGGAAAAGCGACATTTTCCCAAGGATAGAAAACGCGGCTAATACGCGAAAGTGCCGTAGCAGTTGGTAACGACAATTCCAATTAGTTACGCTCGCTGCTATGTCATTACGATCATTGACGATGACACGTGGCTTTCGCTGAAAATTTGTGATCAAAAAGATTCGGATAGCCATTTATTAAGACTTGAATTTTTAGATCGTTATACACTCGCAAATTATTCACACATGTCATTCTTAAAAAAATCCCGTAACGTTCATTATAATATTTGAAATTTGATTAGGGTTGTCGTAGAAAATGAATTTTAAAATTCCCTGATTTTTCCAGGTTTTCCAGATAAAACAGGAAATTTCAATGACCAGTATAAAATATGTAAAGAATTTAACATTGTAAAATATACAAAAAATGTTAACCTTTAGAATCAAGGATTGTAAGAAAGCTAGTTTATTTATTAAAGAAGTCTAGTAGCATAATGAAATTTTGGGGGCAAATTGAAACTAACAAAACATAAATTAGTATTAGAAAAAAGAATGCAGTTATGATGAAAAAGAATGATCAAATAAAATTACTGAATAAAATATAAATTTTAATAATTTTTTAAAATCATTTAAAGTGCATGAGTTTTGAATGAACTGATTATAAGCGTCAGATATAATATTTAAAAAATTATAACAATTATTTGGAATAAGAGCAGTCTAAGAGAATTGTGAACAAAGTTCAAAATTCCAGTCACTTTTATATTTTCCCCTGACTTTTCCCGGTTTTCCCGGTTTTTCCAGATTTGTGGCAACCCTGTTTTAAATAATCATATTTATATTATTAATAATTTTGATTTAATAAGTTCTTGAATTTCTAGGATTTCCGAACCGTGGATTTTTGATTTCTTGTATTTCTAGAGTTTTACATATTTTAATATTTAAATTGTGAATCTCAATAATATTTATTGTATCTTAGATTTTTGAATGTTGAATGTTACATCTTCGACAAAGAAAAAAGGAGAGCTCATATTTCTCGGAGCTGATTAGAGTGTTTGAGGAACACGTGCACTTAAAGAGAAGCAGAAGAGAAGACGCGGAAGCACATCGAACACAATAGCTTTGACAGGCACAAATAAGCGATAAATAAACTTATAAACACTTCGTAGTGTCGGTAATAAGAGCTGAAAGGGCACAATATTTCTGAGGCATACAAAGATGCCCATTATATTAGCGGTCGTTACGCTCGAGAAAATTTTATTGTCGGACAATGTTAATAGAGAAACGATTTGATCATGCGTTGCGACAGAAAATTCATTGCATCCTCCTGTACACGAGAAATATCGGTAGAATAAGAGCTGATAGATGTAGAGATATAGAAAAAGAGCTTCCAAGACTGCGAGACGCAATTTGAACTCTGCATACGAGACGCGAAAATTTTTTTCTACGCTTATAGAAAAAAAAATCGAGCGATCTAGATAAAGACGGAGATAAACTAAGATTGAAGGATGTTTAACGAATGGAATTATTTCATAGATAAGACGGACGTATGCGCAAGTGTCTAGAAATCTAATTGTAGTCCCATCTAAATACAGGAACAATTTGCATATCAGACGTTATGGAAAGTTAAATCTTTGATGAGAAACCTTGATAAAAGTACAAGATTTAATTTCTAAGAAATCGAAAGTATGAAGAGGTGCAATAAAAGCGATAAGTTAACCAAAAAAAAGGATGGGGGGGGGGGATTAACCGTGACACACTTTCGTCGCAACTGGAAATGTAACTGTCACCGATCGCGCGGATTCGGCTTTTGCCAGAGATCTCATCCATCTCCGGTACATATGATCTATTGTCGATCTATCGAAGAAACGGGATACACGATGTAATCTTCTCCGCGCACGGACAAAACGATTCCCATCCGCGCACGCGCACGAGAGAATCGACGATACAACGAGACTCGCTTTCTAAATCATTGCCTAGATTTATTCCATGCAAGGAGAGATTTGCATTGTTAATCGAGATCAAAATAATAACAAGTACCCTGCATCGTGGCGAGAGATGAAAAGGACCGATTATCTTCCAGAGTCCTGTAAAACGACGACGCCGCGCTCGTGTACGAATGCCTTGTAATCGAAATTGCCGGTAAAGAGATCATCCTCGATCTTCCTTCGAGAGATCAAATTTAAGTCGTGCGGTGGAAACCAATATAAAGTGGCTACTTCGAAAGTATCGTGGCTTGCATGTTTACATGTCTAAATTTACGAGAAAAAAAAAAGAGACAGCTTTTTTTGTAAAGCTCGAGAGAAATTCAGAGAGTGGAGATAGTTGGATTCTTATAAACTCTCACATTTCTGTGAATTCTTCTGCCTTTATATATAATTAGACTTCTCTCTGCTTTTAAAATATTAAATTAAAACATTAAAATATTTCACATTAATAATTCTATATTTTCGAATTTTTAACAATTTATTTCTTACAATATTTACTTCTAAATTTTTAAGAAAATTAATTTTAAAATTATTCAATGTAAATGTTAATTATTCTCCAATTACATAATTATCATCCATCTTATTATTATCATCCAAAATATAATGAAAATTTGAAAGTGACCTTTTTATTAATCATATTTTTCGAATCATTAAATTTATAAGATAAATTAATTTTTATTAATACGCTAAAAGAATTTTTCCACGTTTCGTTCACCTACGCAAACCAGCTGAAGGAAATCAATGGCCTCGCTTTCACCGTTTGAGGGCGTTTTCTTCGGAAAAGTGATTCTCCAACGATCGGGAACGAAAGTATAGGCGATAACCCGCGCACGAGTCCCACGAAGTGTCGACGCATTTTCAATCCGTTTCACACAAGATGTACCGAAAGAGAAAGAAGTAAAAGGAAAAAAAAAGGAAGAGAAAGAGAATGACGGAGCTTGCATATGATTGCTCCGAATATTATCTTGCGTTAGCAAATTCCTTATAAGAAAAAACAAAAATTCTTAACAAACAAAATTGAAAGCTCAATATTTCGATTTTCATAAATATGAAAATCCTAAACTTTTATACTATTATTACCAAGAAATTCTACACGATATGAAAAAATGTAACAAAAAGTAACAAAAGAAAAGATACTTTTTCCGATGAAGTCAACCAAAGTTTTTGTCCAATATTCGTTTGTACATATTTCTGTAGAAATTATTTTATACAAAGCAGTCTGTATAACATCTTCAGAACCCCTTACACGTCTACGTCGGAGTTTTTTATCTATCATTATTCTTATCATTTTTTATTGATTTCTCGATGGATGGTAATCAGTTCCGTAGCGTCCACAGCGTCATCTTAGAGGATCGATTGAGCGATTATCCCCCTTTTTGATCGGGAAGGGGGGAACATATAGATTATCTGCTTCCTGGTTACATTCAAGAGTGATTATCCATCATTTTCCCAGGAAATTAATTAATATCGATGGTAGGAGACCCTTCCACTCTCGACCGGCATTATCGATCGCAACATTATAGATCGATTGGGATCAAGATTGATTCTGAGTGCCAGTTATGTACGAGAGAAATTCGATAAATCGATGATTGCACTATTGTACCGGGAAACTTTCCGTACATTATATTAATGTGAATGCACTTGTAAAGAAAGTAAGGAGAAACTTTGCGTACAAATTGACTTCTAAGTTTTTCTTGTAAATCTTCATTCCGGGAACTTTTATGTTTCAGAATGCTCACATTTTCCCAAACTTAATTCAGACAAGTTAAATCAATCATTTAACCCAATTTAAATATTAAAAAAAAAAAGATAGACCGACAAACGTCTGATGTGATGATTCTTAACCACTCTTGCGTCTTAGGTTAACGTAGAAAAAGTTAAAGGATCCTTTTCCAAAAAGGATGCTTAATCTTGAATACGGATAAAATCCATTCAGGCAGTTTTATCTGCAATTTCTTCTAATCAACTATAAATTTATGTATTTATGTATTTTACATAATTACATTTGCTCCAAGCACATCGGTTTTCTTGGGGATAATGTCCCTACAGCTATCGGGATTGATAAAATGGCGTGGTACTCGCCAATGAGAGGATGTACAGCCGGCTCGGCCATAGAGGTGTTACAAAAATACGAGCGACCGGCCGGTTCAGGGTTAAGGGGACAATACTTCACGGTGAATTTTTCCAAGCGGCTCGGATATCCGCGAAACTCGTCGTCATAGCTTATACGTCCGCGGGCGTGCACGGCAATTATTACGGCGAAGTAGCCTGCATGAGTTATGGGAGAGATCTGCATTCTGCAGACCCTCCCTATAGGCTCTATTTCATATCGAGTGTTTAAATCTCCGCCCTCCATGGATCCAGCGGTGTCCGTTGCGGTCTCTCTTTCTCTTTCTCTCTCTCTCTCTCTCTCTCTTTATCTTTCTCCCTCTGTCCCCCGCCGCTACCCTACCCCCTTATCTCGTGTATTTCTGTGATCGCTAGAATGCCCTCGGGACGTCTCGCTCGCGAGGCGCCATGATTAAGATTTTTCATTGGTACCCTTGAATTAGAGTCCGGTTTCGAGCGCGAGAATATTTCACAGCGGATTTTTCCGTCGCGGTCCCCGCTGGAACACGCGAGAGGCACCGATCAAGATTTAGATTCGCGTTTTGTACTACGGGGTGAGCATTCCGCGCGCGAGTCCGAGTATGAGCTGGACATTTATCCAGAATATGACGTCTCGAAATTAGCAACGAATGAACGCAATCATTCACGCTTCGCATTGGCAATTATCTCGAAGAGAGGAAAAAAAAAAAAAGGATAATGAAGAAACACTTACCACTGGTCGAGCTATACTCGCCGATGTATCGCCTCGTCAAGTACCGCACAACCACGGCTGCAACAGAAAGAGGAAAAAGAAATTGATTAACTTCAAAAACGATCTCGCGAATAATTGTGGTGAGTCTGATGATACATCTGTGGAATCATAAGTAATTACAAGTAATAATGTAAGAAGACGTATTTTCGTTCTCTAGCTAGATGGATATGCCTGTATGCGGCCTATAAGAACGCAGGTGTTGAAACGCCATTAACTTATTTTCAATGTTAATAAAGAAACCATAAATATTCGTGGGGAACGAGTTTTCCCGTGGGTTGCCGATAAATTTCTTGCGTCATAAATTCCGTTTCGTTGCGGCGCGAAAGGCGAGACTTAAGATTCAACATATTGACGACGTTCCTGGCATCGTCGTCGTCGTCGTTGTCGTCGTTCAAACCTCGCAAGACTTATTGTAGTAGAGTACATAGATTCATACCGTTCTGTACCCGTAGATATACCCTGTTTATAAATCTATCGTCGAGTTCAGCCCAACGACGACGACGACGACGACGATGACGACGACGACGACGACGACGAGAAGGAAGAGGAAATATCACGAATGGAAAAAGAGGAGAGGAGAGGTAAAGACGCGAGCAGGAACAGAATATAGAACTTCATTCGTGAGCTATTTGCTGAGATGAGAGATACGAGTGCATATCTTCGAAATATTTCCGTGCAGCTGGACGACGATTTATTTTCAACGGCGATTCAACGTACGCTTGCGGAAAGTCGATGGACCGGCAAGAACTGATCCCTCAACAGATCCTTTCAAAGAGAAGGAAACTCTAATTTATTAAAAGATATAAATTATAATTATATAGGTGCAAGTATTTTATATTGCGTTTTATTTAAAAAATTAAATATACGATAGATAAATGCATCTGCAACATCTATGAAAAACAAATTCACGTACTTAGTCTATTTTTATTTTATACACATAAAAACCAAATTATTAGTACAATAAAAGATTGACACGTGCTATATTAATTAGCAATATTAATTAGTAATTAGCATTTTGCATTTGAATATATATATATAATTTAAAAATAAGAAATTTCATCAAAACTGCGTGTGTACTTTCAATAGTCATCGTACAAAAAAGACATCAGCGGATTATTATATTGTACCAAGCAATTCGGTAATCGAGTGAAGACTTATTCTCCTTTGGAGATGACTGTCATCAAATCGAGGCGACGTCATGCGTAATCCTACAGGCGGCGCGAACCGAAGTAATTGATGTGGACACGAGAATGTTGCTCGTAACGCCTAATAGTTCCAAGAGTAAACTGTGCCAAGCGGCCTGGTCTGATGAAAGCACGCTCTTCACTGCACTCAAATCCAAACGCGAGGGAAACCCGACACTCGTGCCAGATACAAAGTGTTTATAATAAAATTCTTATCTTTC